CAAGATGGATTTCAGATTATGGGCTGAAGTTAACAGCCAAGATTCACTTGGAGGCGCTCCTTTCTATAGGGTCACACAGCAGCTCGGGTTGGAAGAGACCTTGAAAAATCATCTGGTACAACCTTCCATGGGAAAGGGAGCCTGGGTGAGATTCTATCTAGATATCATGTCATGAAAACCTCCAGTGATGAGCAATCTACCACATTGCTGGAGGCTTTCTTTCAGCAACTGGTTGTTCTTGCTGTGAAGAACTTACTTCATTTATCAAGATTAAACATCCCCTATTGAAACTTGACCTCACTGCCTCCTTTCCTCTCCATGTGGTGTCTGGTGAATAGGGAGCCTTTATCCTCTTTGTAGCTGCCCTTTCAATACTGGAAACTGTGTTGAGGTTGTCCCTGAGCCTTCTCAGCTTTGTGGTCCTCCCTTGGAAGCCCTCTATTTTCTTTGTGTCATTCTTGAAAATGCCTCTGTTGAGGCAGCGCGGTTGTCAGGAGTGATGGTGTGAGGCATTGCTCTACCCAGATCTCTTGTACTGACATTGGGATTTGCCGCTCTAGACAGAGTATTTCAGATTTTTCCAGGGACCTGTTCTGGAAACATAAGGCAAAATGAGGTCCTCTAAATACAGTTGAATTAAAACCAGGAAAAGCCCCAGCCAACGTATAGATCCATCCCCATGGCAGATAAAGTGTAAACATAAAAGATAGAGTTGGAAATAATGAAATATTGAAAGACTTTTTGTTTAATTCTTCAAAACCTGGTTGATTCTGCTTGGATGTAAGTGGACATGCAGAGTTTTGTAAAGAACTGGAAATGCTAGAAGTAAGACTTAGAATATTCAGGAAAGAAATGAAAGGATTCAAAAGCAGAGCAGCAGAAAATCCTGCAGCAAGGCATGTTTGAACAACTGCAAGTTATCTCTAAGCAAGCAGAAAGGTAGCAGATTCCAGGAGGAAAAAATACAAAACTTCAGCGTTTAAAAACTTGTGAAGGAAGAACCAGTATAAAACAGTCACCTTTACTTGATACTTAGGAATGTAGTAGCAAAAATGACAAAGCAACCGACCATGGAACATTTTGTAGAAAATGAAATAGAAATTATGAGTTCTGGTAAAGAAGTTTGTGATCCTCCTTAAGATACCTCTTGAGTAAGCCACTGACAGAAAATAAAGGAGATGACAGCATTGGGGGGCCTGAAATTATGTGACTAAAATGACATAAATTGTTGTGGAGATGGTAATGTACAGATGTGGTTACAGAACTGATAGTACTGGAAGTAGACTTAGAAATTCATACCACAGCATTACAAGGCATTCAGAAGCAATGACAGCAGCAGCAATACTTTCAGGAATACCCACTTGTTCCCATGGATATGATGAACTTGATTGCAATAGTTTGCTTATGGTCACACTGCATGTACTGGTTGAGAGCAGAACTGGGAGGGCAATTAAAGCAATCTCCTTTAGTGGTGAGTTCTGATCTCATTCAATCTTGTTTTTAACACTGGTGGGCAGACTAATAT